GCCGAGCAAGTGTGATATTCGTGTTCTGGGGCTCAAATTAGCCCTAGAGGCAAGTTTTCAACCAAATCTGAGATTTCGACCTATTTTCGATACAGTGGGGTAACCATGGGCAACGAATTCCTTAAGGTCGCTGGCACTATCGCCGATCAAAATCTCTGTGAGCCATGCAACTTTTCCGCTGAATCTCAGTCCTTATTGGTTACTGACGGCCCTGATCACAAGCAAGACACAAAAGTGCTGTTAGGATGTGCAGGGAGCATTTTTGAGAAAATGCAAAACCACAACTCCAGGAAGGACCCGAACCCTTTTGAATTTGAAACGCCTATTCAATATGCATTCCCTCCAAATGTCATAGAACCCTGTAACACAGCAGAGTGCAAGGAAATTTTTTTATCCGGTGTTCCCATTGCGAGAAACTTTTTTGCTTCCAACACTTTGTTCTGGATTATCACATTTGTTCTTGAATCACAAAACTTGTTTGTACCCACTATATGAGCAAAATAAATCATTAGAAGTGTTCACAGGCGAGAATGGTTCAGTTTTCCAAGAAAAGCCCTATTCATGGCAAGGTTCCCTGATCATGCTAGGCTGTGTTAAAAACTTCCAGAGAGCACTGCTGAAACAATGCAAAAGAGCACATCCATCAAGGATTCGAACCTCTCACCTCGTAAACTTGAGTCCGGCATACTACCCAGACACCGAGGCACATCGCTAGGTGACTCACGTCTGGTTTGTGTACCAAGCTCAATTGTGCTCCGTACAACAACCTCCTGCATATCTCTGCTCAGAGAATCGTTCAGCAGATATGGAAAGCAGATTTGAAATCAGCGTCCGAAGACGCATCAGTGAGTATGCATCTTGTCTTAAATGGCCACTTCGACCAACCATCCTTTCCTTGTTAGCGAAGTGTCTTCGCTGTTTTGAAAACAACCTGTGCCTTCACCTCGCAGGAAAGCGGACAAGACGTAAAGTGAGAACGGAGAGTTACATTGACTACCTTGCAGCTTCATCTCATGTGTACTGTGATTTGCGTCCAGGGCACATAATTGGTTGGCACTGTGGTCGAGTCTGTACGACCCCTTCCCCCTTATTTTTGTAGGGAGCTAGTGCGACCCTCCTCCTTTCCTCTAATCAAGCTGTCGACAGGGCACATCATTGGTTAGCTATTTTGGTTGAGCACGTACGACCCCCACCCTTTTTGGGGGGGGGGGGTTTCGGTATGACCCCCTGCTTTTTTTACGGTTTGGTGATAAAAAAGAATGAATGGGAGAAATTCGATGACTTAACAATAACGAAATAGTAAAAAGTAGCCTACTTCGGACCCTATTAACGATTCATAACGATAACGAACGACATACTGGTGAACGCCAGCGTTTCGCTAGTACTGAAATTCGCGCAAAGTATGAACGCAGCCTAAGGCCGCGTTCATACCGTGCGTCAGTGAAGCGTTGAGGAAATGCGGAATTGAATAACCGACGAAAAGTACCAGATACTCATTGATCTGAAGAATTAAAAACTGCGAATAGCGGAAACAGAGCGATACGTCTCTAACCCTTTCCGGCACTTCTTCGATTCTGCATTTCTTCAATTAGTCAGTTCCTCGCTGTCGCAAGGTATGAAGCGAAGACATAGTGCGTTGAAAGAATAGATGACCCCTCACAAAACACAATCAGTTCCCGGAAAAGGCCGCATTCATAGCTTGCGATAGTGACGAAATGCGGAAATGAAGAACTGAAGCAGCGCAGATTGACGAAATTCAGAAATGAAGAGATGAGGATGGATAAGTATCCAATGCTGTTCGTCATTCGTCATTTCTGCACTTTGCCGCAATCGCAAGCTATGAATGCGGCCAAAATCCTCCATTGCTTGCTGAGAAAATAAATTGCGCTGTTACCACTAGCACTAGCTTTGTTACAGCCTTATCAACAGCACCTGAATAGGTCTAAGCGCTACTTCTACACCGATACATTTTGTACAGTCGTATTAACAGTTCTTAACAGAAAAAAAAGAAAAAATGTTATAACAGAAAAAAAGAAGATAAATGGAGCTGACCAGCCGAAATCAGCTGGAAAACGGCCGAGGAATCGATTGGAAGGGATTCTGGGCAGGACCAACGCCGCAAGGTGGTTGCAAGGTGGTTGGAATGGAGCGCGAGTTTCCAGGAAAGTAGGGTGTCTTTGAAGGGCCATAACTTCCTCAAAAGCGGACCTGTGGGAAAGAGGAGACCGCAGTCGTGTAGAGGAAGGTTTGAGCTCTTATGAAGGTCGCCAAATTCAGAGAGAAATTCAGGTTGGGGATCTATTGAGGATGCATGCAAACTGTCCTGGTTTGAACGAAGATATTTTCCTTGAAACTCAACAGTTTGCAAATCTGAAACCAGTGTCGAATGCTAGAAGATTTCCTCTTTCCAAAAACTACTTAACTGTTTCTGAAGTTTCCGGGATTCATGAGATAATTGCGTTGGGGATTTATTAGGGAGCACTCCGAGCTGCTCGAAAAATCCGTTTTCTGTGTACCGTTTCAAGCGAGCGTACTCGGATATCCAGAAATGCATCTGGAATGCATCCCTTCGTGGAATAGGAGCAAGCAGTAGGTGTTTTAGCGCCCATTAGCTTCATTTGTGGATGCGCCATGCCTAGGCTCCCACGCAGAGGTAATGGGATGGTGCAGTTCCACGCAATGCCTGTCTACACGAGCAGATGTGTTTACAGGATTCAGGGAGTTCCATGGCCAACCTACGCACTTGTTTACAGTGTTGTCCGTTGCGGATAATGGGGCGTGTCAAACAGCTGGAAAACGTCTGATACGAACGGATACGAACGATATGGTAGTCCTGTCGTTTGTCGTAAGAAAAAAAGACAGGTTGGCTCAGCGCCAAGCGCGGTCGCTCGGACACGCCCCATCATCCGCAGCGGACCAGGGTATGAGTTGTACTGTTTAGCCATATACCTACTTACGAGATGATGTCGACTTATTAATATTTCCAGTTAATTTCTGATTAGTTTAATCAAAGAAAGTTTTGTACTATTTTTTTACATATCCGGATTCTCTACAAAGCAAGTTTCGCTACACAGGACATACTGACACCTTTGCGCTGCTCGTTACTGGCTACCACACTCGCCAAAATACGACCCCCCCCCTGTTGGGGAATCAGCACTAAGGATGTGCTCTGGGGCAGAATCTTTTATGGTGAGCGTACAGTTTGTCTGTAAACACCATTCCGATGTTATGTACAGTTTGTCTGTGAACACCATTCTGATGGTATCATCGTGCTCCACATAATGATAGTTCCACCCATAAATATTACAAAATCCCGTCTTACATGAGGTTTTCAAAAATGTCCTCAAATAGAAAATGAGGTAATAATCAATACCAGTTTGCATGTCAACACCGGAAACTAACTTGAAAGAACAAGTTTTTTTGTTCATTTTTTTGAAAGTGGGTACTCTGACAATTCCACAAAATGATAGTTCCACCTCATGTTTTGTCGCTGCGTCTCATTTTTGTTGGGTAAAACGGTAACTGGTAACTGGCTCATCATTGTGACTCTTTGCCTTTTCTAGGCTATGGCAAGAGGACATTCATTATCGGACTTTGAAAAAGGACAGATAATCGCAAAGAAGACTCAAGGACTGTCGAACCGTCAAATCGCACGGGATTTGGGCCGCAGTCATCATGTGATCAACAATTTTGTCAAGCAGGATATGGAGTTAAGAAGAGCTCTGGGCGTCCTCCTTTGCTCTCTGATCGGGATAAGCGCCGTATTTTGAGAGAAGCATCAAATTCTCCAATGTCGTGCCGGGAAATAAAGTCAACTTTGAAGCTTAACGTCTCAGAGGAAACTGTTCGGCGTGTCTTGAAGAAGTCTGAGTTCATTCTCAGGAGGAAAATGAGGAAGGCACCGTTTCTGACAGAAATGCATCGTGAAAAGCGAATCGACTTTGCTAGGAGATGTTGCCAAACCGACTGGAGTAAGTTAGCTTATGGCAGCGGTGCTGTTGAGGTGACGGGTTCAATCAGCGATCAATAACCGCCTCTACTTCAGGGCATCTATGTAAGCGGGTATTTTGAAGGAGCTGTAGAGGCGATCGGCTTAAGGCCTGATCAATAATCGCCGTCCACTCCTAGCCAGTGAGCCGGCGTTTGAATATCCCTCTTTGGCGGGATCTCGGGTCATAAATACCCATAAATACCCCCCGCAGGAGCTCCAGTCAGTTTCGATTCCATGGACGCCACCGACTGCTCGTTCAAGGACTGAACTGGATCAGCGGAGCAGTCCGCTACATGGGGGCCAAGCCGACTTGGACGACGGACTAGGAGCTGGCAGTACTTCAAGGATTTGTGCGTTCGAATCCGATCAGTCGATCGTGATATTCGACGCTTCTGAACTCCGGTTGGATTCAACCGTGACATTCGAGAACTTTTCTTTCTTAGCCGTTACGGCTGATTGATAAGAAAAGAAAGAGTGACTGGTATCATCGAACCGGTTGAATTAAACGCATATATAAACGCATATAACGGCATTCCGATATTGTTGTTGGCTGAGCCAATATCTACTCATTGGAGTAGTATCAGTCTTTTCGGTTCCTGAGCATCGAGTTTATCGACTGACGCGCTTTGTAAGTACCATTGGCACATACAATATATACCATTTAGGTAAAGAGCGGCATCGAACTTTCTGGTGCTGTAACGAACTCCGATTTCGATCAATCGTGATTTCAAAATACCTGTGAAGAAGTGCGCGATCAATAGCGCCAGAAAGGTAAACTTCATATATTGGTGCAACATCTTCGCAGTAAGAGCATCAATTCCATTCAGGTAGAGAGTAGCGTAGTCGAATTCCGATCTCCAATCGATCGTGACTTTCAGGACCGCGAACATCTAAGCAGTCAATAGCCGCCAGTTCAGGTATACAGGCCTTTCAATTGCATTACCTCTCAGTGAGTGTGCAAAGATAAAAATAGAGTTCTGTAGAAGTATACATCTGCTTCCAGACTATCATGTCACAACTAATGGAGGAAGAACTACTCCGATCGCCGATCAGAGAAGATGATATGATTGACGAGCACGAAAGTAACGCCTTTTTGGAAGAATTTGTCAAACAAACTCCTGATTCAGTTGGCGAGTATAGCTATCACTTGTGACAGCGAGCTAGCAAAGTCGATGCGCACGGATGATCCCAGGAGGGAAACTGTCGTTGCTTCTGTTAGGGAGCAAGTGGCACTGGTGAAAGAAATTCCTAAAGCACAGATAGGCAGCGTAAGCGATCTGCAGGAGCACCTGCGTAAGGATGCAGTTATAAGTGAGCTCTTAGTAGAGATCGGTGAAATCTTGCAGTGTAACGAAAGTGAGATAGGTGCGAAATTGAGGGAATTAACCACAGCATTGAAAACAGAACAACGAAACTCTGAGAAATTTTCGACTGCAGTTAAGTCAAAAAGAATTGCAGATCGAACAGTTGCGTCACGAAGTCGAGTGCATGGGCCAAAAGCCCTCCCAAGATCAGAGCAGTGGAACCAGACCACTCCAGGGTGAGTCAGAGGTACCTGTACGAAGTGATCCTTCTGGAAATTCTGACCAGTTCAATCCGTTATTTCAGATGCAATCCTCAAAGATCTCGACGCCATCGAACCAGAAGTCTTGCGGGACTACGCTGAAAAGCGGCTCAGGGAACAGTCACGAAACTCAACAATCGTCGGGCACAGGTGAGGTTGAGGAGTTTTCGCTAAGTCACTCTATTCGAACCACCCAAGATGCAGCTTTTTTTCTGGTACCTGGCGAGTGTTTCAAAAGGTTTTTGAACTCATTCGACATGAAGTACCCAAAAGGGCAGTGGAAAGAGTTGAACCGTTTGCAACTTTTCCAAAGTTTCCTGAGGAAAAACGCGTTAACAGTCTTTGAAACGTTACCGAGCGAGATACGATCGAGCACTCTCGATCGCGTGATTGACGCAATGAAAGAAAGGCTGCGCATAGACGGAAATAGCCAGCGGGTTAAGGCCCTAGCAGGGTTGCGTACATTGGCTATAAGGCCTGGACAAGCAGTAAATGAATTTTGTTTCGTTTTGGAAAGCTTAGCTAATAAGGCCTACCCGGATGTGCCCGCAGAGGCAACTTCATTGCAAAAAGCCGAAATTTTGTGCAGACAGCTGGCTGAACTGGAATGGAAGTTACTGCCTTAACTGAGGCACTAGAGACTAGCTCTTGCGAACAAGCTTATGAAAAAGTGAAAGAGGCAGCACTACGTTTGGAAAGAAGTTTGAAAACAGCTGAGGAGTGTCGAATAGCAACTAGGGCACGGTCTACTCACAATTTCAACCAGAAGCATGCCGTCGGGGATAAGCAACCTGGACCGTATTGTTGGGAAAGGGTGCGCAAGGAAATTGCGAATATAGGCACAGATAAGCCACGCAAACTTCCATTGAGCAACAAACCAGAAACTACCCCGCCGTACCAGCAGAGAAGAAGAGACCATGGCCCACCAAGGTGCTATAAGTGTGGCAAAAGTGGGACACCTAGCTAAGGACTGCAGCATTCCATCAATCAGGCAACATCACGCTCTCCCAAGAGAAGATCCCAATCAAAAGTCTAGTCTGGCAAATGCCTCTTGGATAGATAGATGGATATGTACAGGATAGGAAGAACCGGCATCGAGTAGTGAGCGAATGGTTTGGCCAAAAGCCGCTGGTCGATATAATAATTTGCGGAATAAAAGTAGCCGCTCTTTTAGATACGGGTCCGCAAACAACCATCATATTAGTTAAATTGCTGAAGAGAGCTGTAAATATGAAAGTAAACTTGGGTGAGTATATCGAACATGTGCCAGGACCCAAGGTGAATGTGCGGGATGCTTCAGGGAATGTGATGGAAGTCTTTGATACCATCCGCGTAGCAATAACACTAGGAAGCCAGCTAGAATTTGTGTCAGTCTATGTAGGGGAAGGTTCAGACGAAGTGGTGATTCTAGGTACGAATGCCCTTTATATGTTCAAACTCAGGGTGGTAAGAGACACTCCTAATGAGTGAATCTGAGTGAATGGAGAGTGAATCTCTTCATGATAGCGGTCGAACAACTGGCAACATAAGCACTGACAGCTCGAGCTAAACACAGGGTCTTTGTCTCGCCACGAGCCACGTGCCTTAACGCTAACCTATGAGAGTGCTAGAGCTGCAGATGTGTCACTTCTTCGCTCCTATCCCGCAATACCAGATGGGTTATGCTATAAAGCTTCTGGAGGTGAAATGAGCACACCTGTAATCAACAATTCAGATCAAGGTATGGTGTTCAAAAAAGGAGAAGTGATAGGAGAATGGGAACAAAATGAGTGGATCAGGCCAAAACACATCGAACCGGACAGGAACATGCTAGATTCTAACAGACTGTGCGAGTTTGCTTCTATCAGTGATGGGATCGAAGTAATAGCTGAGATAATCCACAACGAAACGTCCTACTCTGTGCTGCTTTAGCTTGCTTAAAAGCAGCACAGGCAATTATTCGCCATCCTTAGATAGTGGATTAGGGGTTCCATATAGACGACAAGGGGTTGAGTAACTCGACAGTGAAGAAAAAAGCACAAAAAACATGCCACCTGCCCTAGATAGAACCCCATTTTGATCCCAGTTTGTGCCCAATTAACTCTATCTCCCACACTACGCCCTCATACGCACAGCTGATTCACCGATAAGAACTCTACGATCGTACAAGTGACGATTTTCATGCTTTTTCGTCCTGCAATCTCGTTTTTCACTGAAAGCCGGGCATTGGAGGCGGAGTCTGGAGGCGGAGTCACTGGAAAAAAGGAGGAACCACTGAACCTATATTGCGCTATAGCGCCCCTCCCTTAGAATTTTTTGCCGCGAAACCGGTACAAGGTTGTTCGTCGCGGACCACTCTAACCTCCTGACGCCATATTTTCAACTTCGATACCTGATCGCGGACCGTGCCTTTAAGGAATTTGATGTGTTTGCGGTGATAGATGCCGAGCTAACACAAACCGATCTGGTAGTCCATGAAATTGACACGGGGGATCTCAAGCCTATAAACAAAAAACTAGGGTAGTCCCCATCGCAGCTCGCAAAGAATTCAAAGGTATTCTCAACGATCTGGTAGGTCGAGGCATAGTCGTGAGAAGTTTCTCTAAATTGGCTTCTCCAGTTGTACTCGTGAAGATGAAAGATGGAACGTCTCGAGTCTATGTTGATTATCGAGAATTAAACAAGGTGATTTGTCAAAACTATCATCCGTTGCCGAAGACTGACGCACTCTTACAGTGTTGCTGGAAAGAAGGTCTTCTCCACTCTCGGATCTCGCATCGGGATACTTGGCAAATACGCCTTTCCGATGGCGCGAAGAAGAAGAATGCCCTCACAACAAGTGGGGGCCTCTTTCAATTCACAGTATCACCTTTCGGCCTCTCGACAAATCCTGTAGTATTTCAAAGGATGATGGACATGGTGCTACGAGAGCTGCGATTAGAGGACGAGGTTTTCGTTTCTATTGATAATATCTTAGTAGCCACAGAGTCGGTAGATCGGCACTACGTCGTCTTGAAGAAGGCGCTAGAGGTCCTGCGGAAAGCAAATTTGCGCCTTAAACCGCAGAAATGTGAGTTTTTCTGAGACCACGTGACATTCCTTGGGCATCGCATCGACAAAGACGGAGTGAAAACGGATCCGGATAAGTTAAGGAAGATTCTAGATTACCCACTACCTTCCAATGTGGCAGAGTTTAGGACATTTTTGGGAATGGCTTCCTATTACAGGAAGTTCATAGCAGGATTTTCCAAAATGACCAAGGACTTCTGCAGGCTGCTGAATCCAAAAACTCCGTGGAATTGGACTTCCGGACTGATTCAGCGCTTCGAGCAGCTCGAGCAATTGGTGACAACTACACCTGTCCCTGCTCAACCGAATGTTTCCGCAGCAGAAAGCGGTAGTAGACCTTGTATAATCTATACTGGCGCATCAGATGAGGGACTTGGTGCAGTGCTCTGTCAAGAAGGCGAAGACTATTTCCTACACCTGATAATGTTTGCATCGAAGGGCTTGACGGTTGAAAAAGACTATCACATCACGGATCTTGAAGTCCTAGCTGTAATTTTTGCGCTGAAGAAGTTCCATCTTATTGTCTATGGCTTGCGAACAATAGTACGCACCGACCATCAGCCCTTAACATGCTCGTTCAAAAAACGAATGTCTCAGCGCGCGTCCTCAGATGGGCCTTGGAACTCCAAGGGTATAACTTACAGATTGAGTATGTTTCCGGTGAGGCTAAAGTCGTTGCTCATGCGTTATCACGGTGTGCAGCACAGATCACAGATGAAGAGCCCATTGTCCCACAAAATGATTTGGTAATATTGGTAATATAAACAGTGGAAGAGCATAAAAGCGAGTGGCTCCAAGAACTAAAGGAGGATCCGGATTACGCACAGCTCATCAGTAACGTGATGCAAAAGCAAGATCACAAAGACGTGAATCTTCCAAAACATCCCGGAAATTCAGAGTCGCGGACTTCTATATCGATAATGGAGATCTGAAGTTGATGTGCAAAATTTGGGTACGCGTCGTACTCAAATCGAGGAGGAAACCATTAGAGGCACACCAAGGAATGATGGCAGGACACCTCAATGGGCATAAACTGTACCGTCAGCTGAAGAAGATAGTGTTCTGGGAAGGGATGGAAGCAAGTATAGCAAACTGGTCCAAAGAGTGCTCGCGCTGTTTCCTGGCTAAAGGCCATCAAATGCACCCCCTCCCGTTGAAACCATTTACCACACGCGCTCTATTTGAGCTAATAGGAGTAGACCTGGAGGACTGTGAGTTGACCGAGAGAGGTGTTAAGTATGCGCTCGTAGTCATAGACCACTTTACAAAGTTCGTGGGTGCCTTTCCCATTCCAGACACTGCTAAAACGGTGTCTTGCACACATTTCGATGGATAAGCGACGGATGCAGGTGGCCCAAACGTATACATTCAGATCAGGGTCTTGAGTTCATTAATTCCATCTTGTCTAACATCTTGTGACCTCACAGGTATAAAGCAATCGGTGACAAAAGGGTATAACCCCCGCGAGAACGGTATGACAGAACGAGCTATTGAAACTTTGACGCGAATGCTGCGGAAGAAAAACGTGGTTCCAACTGATGGGATCTACTTTTACCCATGGTAGTTTTTGCGTATAATTCGTCTCTTTTGATGCTATAGGTGAAATTATGTTTTATTTGCTGCACGCGTTTGATCCCAATTATCCGTCAAACGTGATCCCTTGTAACCAGCCTTCATTTAACCCTATTGATGCCATTACAAACATGAGCTGCTGGCAGGTATCCAGCTGGCACAAGAATGCGCTAAAGAGCTCAACGGAGAGAAAAGTATAAAGTACGCATGAAAGAAGCATATGAAACAAAGTTGACGTGCAGAAACTACCTAAAGTTGGCGAAAGGTTTTTCAAACTAGGGAGGAAACTAGTAAAAGATAGCCAAAGCTAGTTGACCCTTGGGGAGGCCTTTACGGAGTGATCAAGATGAGCGAAAATTCAGCGCTAATATCTAATCCTATGGGAAAGAAAAGCCTCTTCAAGTTCCATTTGACGCGCTTATCGTTTTTCCAGCCGAACTTGAAAGCCCGATAAGAGAAACTAAAACAAAAAGAACTAAACGGCGTCATGCAAAGGTTAACAAAATTGTCTTTCAGAGCGACGGCGAGCGGTGACGACACTGGTCCTCTTGAACTTTTCTTTCGATGCCCAGGCAAGTATGCCAAGATGCGAGTGGATTCGCGTACGCTTGCACGGTGCAGCAGAAGACCTTCAGAGACGTGCTACCATCAGCATCAGAAGCTATCGGAAACATTCGTTTTGACTCGATCTTTTCTCTTGCTCGTCTAATCTCGATTTATGATTATGAACGAAGTGAACAAAACAAACGATTCCTCATGCTAGAGCCGAAACATGTTTTCATTACCATAAATGGCGCCCAAAAAGCTTATCTCTTTTATAAAAAGTCTTGTGACCATGTTTTCCGGACCCTGATGCTTCACGATGGTTCTTCTCTCTCACGCATGATGGTGGTCTGGTTTGCCGATGGAGCAGCTCAACGAAGCGACGAACGAAGGCGTGAGATACGCCAAATCACACGACTGGGACGAGGTGGTGCAGAGTGAAACCACGAAGATCCTCCTGATGTTACCCGACAGCTTCCGTCTCGTCAACAGCGTCTTCAAAGATCATCTGGACGTGGAACGTCGCCTATATGGGAACCGCAGTGAGATCGCCGGATTGCTGGAGAGATCTACGGCACGACTATGTTATTGGTTGGCCCT